TTGTACCGTAACCAAAGGGTATAACCTAGACTCATTTAGGGTGAGAGTCCAGTGAGCTAAGTATACTGAACAGTATTTACACTGCTCACAATAGCAAGATGCTACTGCATGGGGACTGTTCTTTGGAGTGGAAAGAAACTGCCACCTTCCACTCCCCCATGCTTTGTCCTTTGAACCCTGCCCTTCAGCCCCTCTCTGCACCCACACCCACACCCACATGCCCACAGCAGACCAGTTTCCTGAGTCTTTTAACAGCCTTCTTTGCTTCTTTTCCTATTAGGTTTCTTAGCAATCACCACATATGTTTGAAAAGCTTCAGATCAGATGAACACACAAAAACAGCATTTTAAATAGCTATCAATAGAGTGAGACAGAAGGAGAAAGATGGAGTCAAGAGAGAGGGAGAGGCAAGGTTGACAAGCAAAGTACCCCGCCTGGGCCCAACAGAATCCAAGCCTTAGCACTCCAGCAACCTGACTTTAGGGGCCTTGCTCCTAAAAGTAAGGAGGCAGATCAGCTCCTCCCAGGCTTCTCTGGTCACTTGGGCTGGATCTGGCAAAGCAGGCTTTGAAGTTCCTATAAGTGCTTGGGTTTTAATGTTAAGAGTCTTATGTGTGTTTTAATGTAGCAGAAATGAAAAATATTATCTCCACAGTTCCTACTAGCAAAGTACTAGTTAGTAGCACTACATTGTGTATGTACCACAAACTTGATGACTTAAAATGACAGAAAGTCACAGTAATGAGGAGAGAAGCTCAAAATGAAGGTGTCATTATGGTCATACTCTGAGACTGGGTGGAATCCTTCCTCGCCTCTTCCCAGCTGCTGTCAAGGTGGACGCTGCTGGCCTCACCATGGTAGCACTCTGTCTCTCCCCTGACCACTGCCCCTCGAAGGAACCCAGTCCTATCAGGACACCACGAGGGGCCTTCCCCACTCCAGGATGACCACATCTCGCATAGTTACAACTTCAAGGACTGTGTTTCCAAATAACGTCACATTCTAAGGGACTGGAGACTCAACTCATTCATGACTAAGAGCAACCTACAGCTTTTATATCTGAAGGAAGCTGAGTAGGAGAGGTCAGTTAAAGAATAGATAGGGGCAAGGTAATCTTAAGTGAGGCTGTTTCTACCTTTAGTGCTATTTTATATTTGTCGTATTCTGGGACCAAAAAAAGTCATGATTGAGTGGTCCTAGTTTGGGATGTTTTTATGATTTCATCCTGTTTTCTGTACTATTCATCTCAATCAATAACCCCTCCACACATACACATGCACCCCCAGAAAATTATTGACTCATGCAGAACAATTTGTCTGGACTATAATGACCCCTTAATAGCTTAAGGAAAGGTCATACATCTGGACTATGCTTGCTATAAATTTACATGCATAGAACCTTATAATAGCACTGTCTGCAGATAGGTATTTCATGAACAATCCATTTGAAGATGAGGATTGATATTATTATTTCATTGTATCAAATAAAACAGTATTTGAAGCAGTATATCAGCGTGTGAAAAGAATTGTATTATGCATAGATTTTTATTGTAATGATATTTGTAGTAATGGGAATTTGCTGCATAAAAAACAAGATACTGAAAAGCCACAGATCTTGTTTATTTCCTGTTGTTGACAATGTCGGCATAGTTAAACATGAATATTTTGATCTTGTCAGCTGAAAGTTTTCTTATCTTTGTGAGTTATTTTAGAAGGGAGTCTGGAATAAAAGATGAAAACATTGTAATTTATAATGTTCTTTGCTAGAAAATAGAATTTCTCTGTTCTTGAGACTCTATTTTGCTTTAGAAATTACTGATATGATCATTTGTATTTCATGGCAGGATTTTGAGTGTCGAGCTGCACTTCAAAAACTAAATGCAATTCCTCCTGTGTTAGATCTCTTGAAATCAGAATATCCAATTATTCAGCTGTTGGCTCTCAAAACGTTGGATGTTATGACAAAGAGTAAGGAGTCCCAGGCAATGCTGAGAGACAATCAAGGACTGGACCAGCTTATTAATATCCTAGAAACCAAGGTAATGATCATTCAATTCTCTCAGTGGTCCCCTAAACATCACATAAAAGGAACTAGAGAATATTTTCAAGTGAAATTTTATATTTAAGCATGATGCAAAGGATAATGGAATAATTGGTTAATTTCTACAGAAAGTCAATCAGACTGATTAAATCAGAATAATTGTATAGGCATTTGAAATGAGTTTCTTAAAAGTCTTCTGCCTTAGGATATTGAAAATGTTCAAACATCTTTGTCTATTATTTCCCTGGTTTTCTGAAACATTTAGAATTAGTCTCCTTTAATATAAAAATATAGAACTAGTCTCCTGACATTTATTAACAATGATTTTCTCTGGGATAGGGGAAGAAATGTAATTTACTTTCTAAGCACATTTTGAGAAACATTGGAGTGGAATTTCCATAGTTTCTACTAAGTTCCTTAGGAATAAATTTCACATGTTAAGGATCTGCATACCTTTTTCTAGTATCTCCCAGCTATAAAAAAAAAATCTAGCAGTTTATTAAATATCATTTAACTGTCTTGGAGTGATTCAGATGATTTCTGAAAGTGTCCACTGCTTTAACTCCAGCATGAAACCATCCGTTGTGCCACTTTAAAAGGTTAGTAAATTAAATTAACTCTAATGACAAAAGTCTTTTCTTTATGCCTCTTAGAAACTCAGGAGGCAGGCGTAAATTAAACGAGATTAAAGGGTCCCTAAGTAACAACTATGTACTACCCAATCACTATATTTTTTACTTCCTAAAAAATTAAGTATCAGAACTTTCTAATTTTACAGGAATGAAAAAATAAAGTAAAATAGAAAGGAGCAATATAGACACAGGTGTATTTCTTGGCCATGT